GGTGTTAAGTTGGTGTACAGGGGGCGGAGATTCAGACGGAGCTTCGCCGGTCTAGCCATAAGACGTAGAGTTGCACGCAGCAGCTTGAGAATGGAAACTGTAACTCAATAAAGACTTTTATTTTAATGATCGCTGGCTAGCGTGATCCTCTGTGAGCTAGGATCTGGAAGCGACTCTGACACATACGCTCACTCATCTCAATTCAGAGAGCTGTTCTGAGTTCACAGATGCCAATGTTCATACAGAATTCTCCCCCTGCCCTTTTGTTTCTAAGTTGAGAAACTTAGCGGTGGACATGGAAGGTCATCCATACAGGAGCAGTTCTCTGTATCTAATGCATCTTCCCACAGCCCATCTGCCACATTCACTTTTTACAAGGCAAATCCACTGGTTACATCGTGTGGAGAATATTTCTTATACTTTCCCTAGTGACAGGTATGTGTTTAACTTATCACGATGACTGTTAGTTGTCAAACCTCGTACCTGACAAGGCTTGGTCATAACAAATGTCCCCAACGTGGAACTGGCAAGAGGAAGTAATTGGGAAATTGATTCAAAGATGAATGTGGAAAGGGGGTGGGGGCTCAGTCTGACAAAATCATAACGTTTAAGTTCCCCCAAAAGAGCAGCAGTACCCACTCATCCACCTATGAGCACAGACTCCCAGGAAACTACAGCTGATCAAGGATAATTCAGTTTCCCTAACACAAGGGAGGGGGAGAGAACAGTCTGTCTTCATCTGCACACATTATACAAGGCTTCCCCAATCTGGTACGCTCCAGATCTCTTGGACTGCAGCTCCTGTCAGCCTTAGGCAGCATAGTCAGTGCTCAAGGATGCTAGGGCTTGTAGCCATGTCAAACTGGCACCAGAACTGCCACTGAGTTTGTGATTTGGATGTTATGACAGGGATGAGGAACTGTGACCCTCACAGGTACTGTTGTGATTCCAGCTCCACAGTCACAGCCATCATCACTAATGGTCCCAGATGTTGGAAGTTGTAGTCTGACAGCATCTGTTAGGTACCAGGCTAGGGAACGGCTATATTATATACCACATGGGTACCCACTTTCCATAGCCACAAAGAAGAAACTGTGGAGGCATCATGGAGAAAGCTAAACTGCTACCTGAAACCATCTAGAAAGACATACCCCCTAGAAAAGTTTTGAAAGAAGGGGGACAGTCCCCTAGAATTCTAACTGGATAACCCTAGTCAGTGTCAGTGAACACAGCAGCCTTATAAAAGATGCCATAGAGAACACCTTGCTCATCGTTCCTCCTGCCAGAAAGCATTTAGAAAACTCCAGTATTACCAGGCATATGCAGCTAACAGCAAACAAGCTTTCTAAAATGTTATACACATGCATGTTTTTAAAAGGGAGGGCAGGCTGCATTCCTGTACAAAGTGAGTTACGCAACCCCCATTGACTTCAATGGGCTCACAAAACCCTGCACAGAATCAGGCTGAAACAAAGGCAAAAATCGTCAGAAGATTTGTGCAACAAGGAGTTCAAAGCTTCCTTATGAAGAGACTGGAGAGAAATGTACTAATATAACAGGTTCATAGTCTGGGAAAACTTTCTGAAAACTGAACACTTTCACAGCTCAGGCTGCAAAAGTTTTTTGTGTTGCGACCTGTATACACTTAAGAACTGGAAGTGCAAAGAAAAAGTAGCTGAATCTTCTGCGGAGAAATGAGAAAACAGAGCAGAATTACTAAGAACATGTCCAATAAAAATGCTACGGTTGACACAGTTGGTGTTAGCTGGTTGTGCGCTGCGTATTCTGATCACTCTCACTCTTATTCATACATGCTTATTTCACTCATTCACCCCCACCTTGCAAAATTAGGTGGGTTACATCAGCTAGGCAGCCACTGTTCTCTACCATACAAAATGACCCACCAGATCAGAATACTGCAAGTCTATAAAGGCAAGCAAGGCATTTACAAGAAGGCAATGCCAGCCTCTGGAACAAATGCTCACTGGGGTAATCTATCAAGAACATGCAACATCTTTGTTAAGAGTGTGGTGAAGCTTGCTGGGACTCAGGTAAGTCCTTTAAGTTTTTGCACCAGTTCTCTGGAATTCTCTTGTCTCAAAACAGTGTTCGAAATTAGCCAGGTGCTTTCGACCACTTGCGACCAAGTGAAGATGCCTGGGCACCAGGATGGTGCCTGATATCTCCACCATCTGAAGATGCATGCCTGGGGATCCTTGGATCTGGACTGTTTTCACACATTAACACCCCATCCTGTAGAATTCTATCTGTTATATTTTATCTGCACAGTCAGAAAATGAATTTCTGGAACCAAAATGCTTTTTCTGTGCAGCCTGAGCAGCAGGAAAAGAAAGAGAGGTTGGAATAGGCCAATATTTATGTGGACTGTCCCTGGATCAAGTTGCTTTTCCTCTTTAAGTTCTCAAAGCTCTTAACCTAGCTCAATGTTACCATCTGAACTAGCCAGATGTTTAACTGAGAATCAATCACAGTCTGTCCATCTAAGACTTTAGAACTGTCTTGCCCCAAAATAGCAACTAGACGTTTTGCCAACTGTAACCCCGGTTAAGGAGCCATTTGGCACCTAGCTTATCTCATAGAACAGGGTATATCATAGAATCATGGAGTTGGAAGGGAACCTAAGGATCATCTAGTCCAACCCCCTGCAATACAGGAATATGCTGCTCTCCCTTATGGGGTTAAACCGGCAACCTTGGAGGTTGTCAGCACCACGCACTAACCAACTGAGCTACTTCTTAATTCATCTTGAGTTTCCAACACTGCCTCAAAAGTGAAGCAACTTCCAACACTGTGCTGTTTTTTTAATCTGTTTTCTTTTCTCCTGTGCTTTCTCAAACCAGTCTATTTTATTTCTGTTACTTTTAATGTTTCTTGGTCTTCATAAAATCATAGGACCGTAGAGCTGGAACCAGGTCATTTAGCAATGGGTTTTATATTTCTATTTCTGCACACTGCTTGGGCATTCTCTGGGCACTTTATAAATTATGAAATAAACGATGTCTCTTCCATACCATTAATGCCTTTAATCTGAAACATTTGCTCAGTGGTAGAGCATCTGCTTTGCATGCAGAAAGTCCCAGGTAGGCCTGGGAGAGACCCATGTCTGAAATCCTGCAGACCTGGTGTGTGCAATACTGAACTAGCAGGACCAATGGTTTAATTCAGTGTAAGGAAACTTGCTACACTCCCCTTCTCCAGATTATTTGAAGAGCCAGAAAAGGGAATTCCAAGGGAAAGAGATTGTGCCCATTTGATTCAGTCTAGACAAATAGGATTTTGGCTATTTCCCCCCACCATCCAGTAGCATATTACCAATCTAGAAACATCTCTGCTACTAAATCAAATGTATGAAGTTTTCTCTAACAGGAAAAAGGCCGCGAGGTCTGACTCAACAGACATAAGCCATTCCAATCCACTTATGTTTATAAACTACAATTCCTGCTTATTATTTATTAAATGTACACATCATTAGCATCCTCTGAAATAGCCTAATATTGCAGCGCATCATTCCTCGGTCTGCTTGGTAGAATATAAACTTTATTGCTTTTGAATCAAATCTAGCTTTGCCCATCTATACAGAGCTTCGAAGTTCTGGAAACTCTTATTTGGGAATCAGGGTTGTGTGAGAGACACAGACTTGTAACATATTTGCTGTATCAAAAAGGGGGGAAGTGTTGCTTTCAAGTTAAGTCTGGGGTGCCCTGGGGAACAACCATCAGACAACAGAAGCAATCTGGTCATACGAGGGAAGCTTTCCAAAGGTGAACCCGGAAAGTTGTCTCCACCCCTGACCCATGCTCAACGGGGAAGGGAACGAGCAATTCCTCCAAGACTTCTTACCATACCAGAATTAAAACTTCAAAATGAGTATGCTTTCAAAACGTCCCTGTTCTCAAAGTTTCTCAGACGGGTTAGACACACTTTACAGACAAGCATGCACTCAAAAGTAAGTGTGTGTGTGTGTGACAGAGAGTGTGTTGTGCAAAGCCTTTAACCATCCCCATAAGCAGAGTTTTAAGGGTGTTACGAGAACTTACAGGCAACTGTAAAAGTACGAGGATGCAGTAAAAAAAGTATTATTATTTTACCCTGGCTGAGCCCACCACGCTTCTTAAACACTGTTTCGGTCAGGTAACAAATGTCCACACACATATTCCCATCTACTAAAGGGGGGTAGCGGGGGGGGGGTAACTGCCCCATAACAAACAGCTGGCATTGCTTAGGCTTATAGGGGGAAGAGGTCTTTTGAAAAGAATCAGACTTGGGCAAAAGTTCTTTATCTCTCCTCCCGCCCCCCCCCCCAAATAATAATAATCTAGCCCGCTCTGCCAGTGGCATAGGAGCTGATTGCCTTCCTTTGACCAGTAAGAGGGGTGTGTGGGCAAGAAAAGAAAGAGAAAGTGGGGGGGGGCTCGTTCTGCCAGGCAAGGAGGCAGCAGCCGCAGCAGCAAAAACAGCCCATGTGGGGCAAGTGGCAGCGGGAACGCGCCTGGAGGGGAAGGGGAGGGACTACCGCGGACTTTGGGGGCCGGGCGCACGGCGAGCTCCTTCCTTCCCGGGTGCCCGCGCTGGGGGAGGCGGGTGCCAGCCACCCTCCCTTCCTCTTCCTCCCCTCCCCCCCCCGCGCCTTTTCTCCCCATGTGCCCGGCGTGAAGCAAAAGGGGGACGCCGCGCAAATGGAGAGGGGTGTCGTTTCCTGAAGAGGCGAAGCTCCGTGGGGGTGTTTTGCTTGGGTGGGGGGCCACCCTAGAAGGAGGTGGAAGCCGCGCGGGGAGCCGGGCTCGCCCTTCGCCCCAGATGGCTCCCGCCTCCGGCACGACGCGCCGCCGCCGCCGCCACACACAAAGCCCCCCGGAGGAAGCTCGGCCGGCGGAAGGCGGAGGGGCCGCGGCGGCGCCGCTCTCCCTTCCCCGCCTGCCTCGCTCGCTCTTCCCCCTTCGCCTCCCCGTCCCTCCCGCCGCCGGCGCCGCGGCACTGACCTTGGCGTCTCCATTGCACACAGCCATAGAGCCGGCCGGGGTTGGAAACGCCGGAGGCTTGGAGGGGGACGAGCTGCTGCGCGCCCGGGTCCGTGTGCGCACAGCCGCCGCCCGAGTAGAGGGCGCCGGGAAGCAGCGCGCAACGAGGCGGGCGGGAAGGAGGACGAGGCTACCGAGGGGCCGCCGCTCTGGCTGCTGCTGCTGCTGCCGCCGCTGTGCTGCCTCTCCGCGGCCGAGATGAGCTAATCCTGCCCGCCCGCCCCGCCAGGACGCGCCGCCCGCGAGGAGGAGCCCGGCGCCCCGCGGACCGCCTTCTTCGGCGCCGGGCGGGAGAAGAAGGGCAGGAGCGAGAGCGGCGCGCCGAGCCCGCCCACTGGCGGACGGAGAAGGCGCGGGGAGGCTGCCGGGGGAAGGGAACGCAATGCTATCCATTTATAGAAAGAGGGAGACTCGCCCGTGGGGTGTCCGCGCAGCTCGAGAAATAAAGGCTGGCATGAAAGGAGGGAAATGCAGGTTTTGGAGATGTTTTGTTGTTGTTTTTTGCCCCGCTTAGAGGGCTGCGATCCTCGGCACGCTTTTTTTACCCGAGGGTAAATGCAGCCAGTTGCAGTTGCGCCCGGCCGGAGGGAAAACGGGAAGGGGGGGGATTCCTACCAAAAGTCTCGAGGGACGTAAAGGGTTAAAAAAATATGTCACGGCATTTGAGAGTCCGCGAAAGCCATGCCACCAAAAAATTCTCTTTGGGGTGTCTCGATCTTTTTGTAACCCGCTTTGATGGGTTGGGTTTTGATGATGATGACAGTATTTCATAGAATCATAGAATCATAGAGTTGGAAGAGACCACAAGGGCCATCGAGTCCAACCCCCTGCCAAGCAGGAAACACCATCAGAGCACTCCTGACATATGGTTGTCAAGCCTCTGCTTAAAGACCTCCAAAGTAGGAGACTCCACCACACTCCTTGGCAGCAAATTCCACTGTCGAACAGCTCTTACTGTCAGGAAGTTCTTCCTAATGTTTAGGTGGAATCTTCTTTCTTGTAGTTTGGATCCATTGCTCCGTGTCCGCTTCTCTGGAGCAGCAACCCGCCCATCTGGCTGGGTTGCACCAGGCACTTTTTAGCAGTCAAGCGGTGTATAAATGTTATGCAGTGAATAAATAAGATGCTCCCTGCATAGCAGGGGTGAGGAAGCTGAGATCATCCGAGTTGTTGCTGGACTTAGACTCCCATCAGACCCGGTGGTCACAGATGATGGGAATTGTAGTCCCAGAGGGTCTTCAGCCTTTGATGTGCTGCTTAAGGCAACTAACCAAATGGCCAGATTTCCTGCCTCTTTCCACCATCCTATCAGGGTTTTCCAAAACTTGGTTCTCCAGCTGTTTTTTGGACTACAGCTCCCATTATCCCTGACCACTGGACCTGCTGGCTAGGGATGATGGGACTTGTAGTCCAAAAACAGCTAGAGACCTAAGTTTGGGAAAGCCTACATAAATCAACTAAATTTTGTTTTGAAGGTGCCGCAAATGGGGCAGGAGTCAGGGTATAAATATCAAAAAAATTATTTTAGATCTACTTTAGCTTAAAAACCTAAACATTTGTCCCCCTGTGTTGTGATTACCTCACTAGGAACCTGCTTATGAACTTGAACGTACATTGGCCACAGGCTTCATCCCAGGATGTGTCTGAGGCAAGTACGTAGTCCTCAAGAAATCTGAAGCAAAAGGGAAGCAGGGTTCTTGATCAAAACTTCCTAATTTAGTTATTGCATTTATATGCCACCTTTTTCTCTTTTTATATATATATATTTATTAAATTTCCTGTTTTACAATTTAGAGTATACATTTAAACAACCTTAATGTATCAGTGACTTACTTCCCTTCTTCTGTTTCCATGGTTCATTTTGCATAACAAATCCCTGCACATTTTACATAAATTACTAAACTATTCAGTATTCCATTATTACATCCATCAAAATTTATTTACACTGTTGAATTTATCTTAATGCTGCCAACGATTTCAAGTGTACACAATTTCCTCCCATATATTCAATAAACATTTTCCAATCTTCTTTAAACATATGTTTTTCTTGTTCCCTTATTCTATATGTTAGGTCTGTAAGCTGCACATTTCCCATCAGTTTAAGTTGCCATTCTTCTTTAGTTGGGACCTCGATCATTTCCCATTTTGGGGCTAACAAAACACAGGCCGCAGTAGTGGCATACATAACCTTTTTTGACACCTGGGAATTTCCGTCTGAATTATCCCCCCAAAAAAAGACTCTGGTTGTTTGATTGTTTTTTTTTTTGGGAAGTGCTTTGAAACATTTTTTTCAATTCATTATAAATTATTTCCCAATACTCTTTTACCCTTTTACAGGTCCACCACATATGAAAGAATGTACCCTCAACCCCATTGCATCTCCAGCACTTATCTGATTCAGTCTTATACTGTACATCTTAGCAAGTCTACTCGGAGTTAAATACCACCTGTAAATCATTTTCAGGTAGTTCTCCATCATATATTTCTCAAGGTGCCATACATGCTGTACCCCTGATTTAATCCCCACAACAAACCTGAGAGGCAGGTTAGGCTGAGAGTCAGTGACTGGCCCAAGGTGAGCTTCACGGCCGAGTGCGGATTTGAATCCTGGTCTCCCAGCTAATAATTGGACACTCTAACCACTATGAAATGAAAACTGCCATACTATCCCCTAAATTTGGCGCTGTGGTCTAAACCAGTGTTTTTCAACCACTAGTGTGCCGCGAGATGTTGCCTGGTGTGCCGTGGGAAAAATTGAAAAATTCGAAAGATTTTAAAATAAAGTATTTTATAATTTTTCATATTTCTGTTTACTTACTATTTCATAATAAAGTAATTATAAAATACTTTCTTTGTGTTTATTTGATTCCTATTCAAGAGAATTACTTTATATATAGTCAATATAGGCACAGAGTTAACTTTTTTAACATTTTCTAATGGTGGTGTGCCTCGTGATTTTTTTCATGAAACAAGTGTGCCTTTGCCCAAAAAAGGTTGAAAAACACTGGTCTAAACCACTGAGCCTAGGGCTTGCTGATTGGAAGGTTGGCGGTTCGAATCCCCGCAACGAGGTGAGCTCCCATTGCTTGGTCCCTGCTCCTGCCAACCTAGCAGTTTGAAAGCACATCGAAGTGCAAGTAGATAAATAGGTACCCCTCCGGTGGGAAGGTAAACGGTGTTTCCGTGCGCTGCTCTGGTTCGCCAGAAGCGGCTTAGTCCTGGCTGGCCACATGACCCAGAAGCTGTACACCGGCTCCCTTGGCCAATAAAGCAAAATGAGCGCCACAACCCCAGAGTCGTCCGCGACTGGACCTAACGGTCAGGGGTCCCTTTACCTTTTACCATGGGGGGGGGTCTATGCGTGTTGTACCTCTGCTCTGAAACCTCTGCTCCAGGGAGTGGAATGAAATACAGTACCTTGGATGCTATCCACTTGAAAAAGAAAAAGGAAAACATTTTTGCTGGCACCAAGACAAGGGTAAACTGCCCCACTCCCACGTTGTTCCCCAAGAGCAGCAGTTTAGGCTTTGGGTCTGCAGAGGCAGAAGTAACAAGAGATCTGAGGTGGCATAATGGACAGTACCACTTCAGACTGCAGGTGGTGGTGGGTGCCTTTCAGGATTGCTGCCATGCGTCAAAGAATAATAATTCCTCCCCTTCAAGTCCCAAATGAGTACAGCTGGGAACACTCTGAGCTAGACCTCCTCTGATGTGCTAGACTTTTGCAAGTGTGCATGGTGTTTTTTTAAGGAAACATTTTAAAGGGCCATCCCCGCCTGCAATATGAAATGGCACACTCAGCTCTGCCACCGCATCAGAATTCTTCCACCTCACAATAGCTCTGTTTTCACCTTTGTTATGTATTCTGAGAGTAGGAGCAGGACCCTGCTGGCTGGCCTGCCTCCCTGGTCTCCACATGTTCAGATGAAGGCGACAACAGGCGCTATTGTGCACAAATAGGCACTTTATGTACCTGGTGCAATAACCCTCTTCATGTGTTATGAAGGGGCAGGCAGCAGCGTTGAGAGGCCTAGCTCTGCCCTTTCCTAGTCATTTGGGTTACCCTCAATTTGCTGTGATTGCCTATACATGAGGCTCCTTCTGCACTTTAGAAACCTGGAAAATCAATGTTCAGGGAGCCTCCACGAGTGCTGAAGGCCTGCCCCCCACCCCTCCACTTCAGACCAGTCACCCTCCACAAGTTTAGGGCAAGGGCAGAGTTAGTGTGCTTTTCCTTGCTGCCCACTTCATGTGTTTGGTTTACTCTGAATCATAACACCCAAGGGGGGCTTGTGTGCATTCAATCGTTCTCATGCAGAACCCTTTCTCATCACCATTTGAATGTTTGGAGCTTGTAGGTGAGGCCAGGGGCGACAATCCCTGTCTCCACATGCAGTGGACCTCGGGTTACATACGCTTCAGGTTACAGACTCCGCTAACCCAGAAATAGTACCTCGGGTTAAGAACTTTGCTTCAGGATGAGAACAGAAATCGTGCTCCAGTGGCACGGTAGCAGCAGGAGGCCCCATTAGCTAAAGTGGTGCTTCAGGTTAAGAACAGTTTCAGTTTAAGAATGGACCTCCGGAACGAATCAAGTACTTAACCCGAGGTACCACTGTACTAACTGAACGTGTAGACCAGGGGTGACTATCTTTTTCATTGGCTCAGGGGCCAAAACCGTCTAGGGGCCGCATGGCAGTGGTAGGTGTGGCCAGCCACCCCACACTATCATGTCCACCACACAAGCTCACACACCCCTTATCAGCTAAATGAGGGCTATCTCCAAACATAAAATGACCAATCTGCATCAAACTCTACTCATAAAATGATCCACCTGCAATTTGCATTCCCCACTCTCAACTCAGTGCTGTGTCTGCTTTAATTCTTTGCCTTTCCAAAATTGAGGGGTAGAGTCTTGGGGTGAGAAACATTTGCTTGGGGAGGTGGGGAGCTGGACCAGGTCCTCTGAAACTGGGAGTTAGCCTTCATCTCACTTCTCACAGGGGAGCTAACACTGCATGTGAAGTCTTCTTTTCTACCAGACAATGGAATTGGGTCCTCTAACATCTATGGTCAAACTTCCTGTCTAGGTCAAGGAAAGGAAGCCGGGCTGCTCTGGAATCACCCCAAGAAGACCTGTTTCTAACTTTTCTGTTTGTTTTCCCTATGATAGGGGTTGCACCCTGCCCATTGCAATGGTTCTCAGCATTGTCACATTATTTGAGTGGCAGCTCTGCAAGGACTGCTGCTGAGGGTGGTGAAGCAAGGCCACTCAAAACCAGACAGGAAGCAAGACTTTGCCATCTTCGTTTTCCAGCGGCTGCCCTTCACTAACCTGCCACCTTCTTGATATTTTGGACTACAGCCCGCATCAGCCTCAGCCAGTTGGACTGTTCTGGCTGGGGCTGATGGGAGCTGTAGT